GAAATATATATAATCATTATATATAGTATGTGTATATGTAATATATATATATAATTACATATACACATACACACACAGAATTTAGGTCTACATTCTGCATATGAGAGAAAACATGCAACCTTTGTCCTTCTTAAGCTGGCTTATTTCACTTAATATGATGACTTCCAGTTCTATCTATTTTCCTGCAAATGTGAATCATTTTTCTTCAGATATATAGTTTTTTCTTTAGCCATTCATTAGTTGAAGGGCATTTAGGCTGATTCCATAGCTTGGCTATTGTGAATAGTGCTGCTGTAACCACGGTGTGCAGGGGTCTTAACTGGGTACTGACTTACATTCCTTCAGATATATGCCCGAAGGTGGCATCGTTGAATCACATGATAGTTTTACTTTTTAGTTTTTTGAGGAATCTTCATACCCATTTCTGTAGTGGCTGCACTAATTTACATCTCCACCAACAGTCTATAAGGATTCCTATTTCCCCACCTCGTCACCAGCATTTGATTTATTTTTTTTCCTGATAATAATCATTTTGACTGGAGTGAGATGAAATCTCAGGTTAGTTTTGATTTGCATTTCCTTTATACCCAGAGATGTTGAAATTTTCTTTGCATATCTATTTGCCATTTGTATTTCTTTCAAGAATTGTCTGTTCAACAATGGGATTGGACTTTGAGCACATGATAAAAGCGAGAGCACACAAGGGAGGGGTGAGGATAGATAAGACACCTAAAAAATTAGCTAGCATTTTTTGCCCTTAACGCAGAGAAACTAAAGCAGATACCTTAAAAGCAACTGAGGCCAATAGGAAAAGGGGACCAGGAACTGGAGAAAAGGTGAGATCAAAAAGAATTAACCTAGAAGGTAACACATCTGCACAGGAAATTAATGTGAGTCAACTCCCTGTATAGCTATCCTTATCTCAACCAGCAAAAACCGTTGTTCCTTCTTATTATTGCAAAATAGTTTCTGCTGGGTATTGAGGGGGTGGGGAGGAGAGGGAGGGGGCAGAGTGGGCGGTAAGGGAGGGGGTGGGGGCAGGGGGGAGAAATGACCCAAGCCTTGTATGCACATATGAATAATAAAAAATAAAAAATTAAAAAATTAAAAAAAAAGAATTGTCTGTTCAATACATTTGTCCATCTATTAAGTGGGTTATTGGTTCTTTTGGAGTTTATTTTTTTGAGCTCCTTGTATGTTCTGTTTATTAATCCCCTGTCAGATGGATAGCTGGGCAAACATTTTCTCCCATTCTATAGTCTATCTCTTCATTCTAGTGACTGTTTCCTTTGCTGTGCAGATTTTTGGTTTGATTCAATCCCATTTGCAGGAAGAGTTATATTAGTCTATTTTCTGTTGCTATAACAAAACATGTTAGGCTGGATAACTTTAAAAAGAAAAGAGATTTATTTAGCCCATAGTTCTAGAGGTTCAAGAACATGGCACCCTAGCAGCTCCACTCTAGGGAAGCCCTCCTGACATATGTTTTGATGGTGGCAGGACTGCTTACAAGTGGCCAAATAGGAAGCAATAGAGTGACCTAGGTTCTTAGAACAACTCATTCTCATGAAAATTAATTTAGGGACCCATGAGAACTACCTTAATCATTTCTAAGGGAAGCTCCCCCAATGACCTAAGAACCCCCAACTAGGCCCCACTTCTTAAAGGGCCACACCCCTCCCAAAACCACTACCCTAAAGAGAAAGCTTCTAACACATAAACTCTTGGAAGACAAACCACATCCAAACCATAACATGGGCCTGCTCCATTCACTCACCTAGATCATATATGTTAGAAGTGGTTTTCTTTTTATTATTATTTCTAAATCAAAGTTAGCCTATTATCAGGTTCTACAGTTTTGTTTACCATCTCACTACAGGTAGCTGTGTTTCATTGTTCTTGCTCAGATTCGACTGATTGTATTAATCAGGGTTCTCCCTGCCCATAAACAAAACCTCACTAATCCCTTCCCCAGAAGAGAAAGTAAATCTTTTAATGATGCTTACTTTTTTTTAATCCTATAACTTGAATACTCTGAGGTAAAGATAACAATATCTATTAAATCAATACATTTTATGTAATGTGATAAAGGAATGAGAGAAAAGAAAACAGATACATACTCATACACATAACAAAACAGTGAGGAAATACCCTGAAACTGGTCATATAGTTATAACTAATATTTAAACCTATCTTATTTCTGGGTATAGTGGTACAGACTTGTAATCCCAGCACTCAGGAGACTAAGAAAGGAGGATAGTAAGTTTGAGGCCAGCCTGGGCTACATAGTGAGACTCTGTATCAAAAACAAAACTCAAAACAAAACTATCTTATTCCATGACCCATACTGTATATTCCCTTTGCTTTCAGCAAGCGCTTCAGCTGGTTAGATTGCTTATCTGGTGAGTTGTTATAGACTGAATACTTTTAGCACTCCCCCCCGCCCCCCGCCCAAATTCAAATGTTGAAATCCTAATCAGCAATGTGACGGTGTTAGAGGGTAGGGCCTTTGAGAGGTGGTTAGGTCTTGAGGACGCCACAATCTATAAATCAGGAAACAGGCCCCCACCAGATGCTAAATCTGCCAGTTCCTTGGTCTTTGACTTCTAAGGCTCCAGAAATGTGAAAAATAAATATGTGCTGTTGAAGTTGCCCAGCCTGTGGCAGTTTTGTTACTGTACCCTGAATGGACTAAGGGTCTTAGCCCTGAAATGTCTGAGCTACTAGTAGTCCTGGGTTGTGTAATTTTCCACAAGATTTAATCACAGAACATGGGGATATTAAGAAGTACTCTAAAAGATGTTTCAGACATATTCTGAAGTAATAGTCCAATTTCCCCCTGATAGTCTGAATCGATCATCCCAGCCAACACAGTACCCCCATTTCTTTGTCTGCTGCTTCAGGGGCATAAGGCGCCCTGTGTGGCTGAATGGCGGTCTTAACTTCCAGTTCAGTAGAATCAGTGTTGTGTCTCCTGGAGGAAGCACTCTTCTCCCGTGGAATTAGTTTGCAAAGCTTAAAGTCACCAGAGCAAGAAGCAAACATTTTTCTAGTCGGTCACTAGGGGCAATAGTGACCCCACCCCTTGATTGCTGGACCCAGGAATCTGGGCTGTAGAAGAAAATAGCACCTTAGATTGATTGGTTATCCGGAAGTTTACCTCAGCCCTGTGAGGTGTTGCTGCCACCTGGCTGACATTGTAACTAGTCTTCAAAAGGCCATTCCAGCATTCTATCGAAACAGATGTTCAAGATGGTGGGGAACTGGGTAGACCAATGAGCATGGACATTAATTGATTCACAGTAAAAACGGTTCACACCCTTGAATCTAAAAACCACGAAAACATTAGACCACTTCCAACTGTATATAAGAATAATATTAGCATAGTGTTTGAAAGTATAGATCAGCACAGTTCAACAGAAATACAATGCAAGTCACAAATGCAAGCTGTGTGCATAATTTTGCATTTTTAGTGGGCACACTGAAAAAGATAAAAAGAGGTAAAATTGATTTTAGTGATATTTTATTTAAACCAATATAGCAAGTGTTATTTTATTATGCAATCAATATAAAAATCATTAATTAGATCTCTTGCATTCTTTCTATAGTAAGTCTTCAAACTCTGGTGTGCCTTTTATAGTACATATAAATTTGAATAGCCACATTTTAAGTGCTCAGTAGCCACTTAGGCTCATCTATATTATTTGAGTTCCTCTGCCTCAGCAAGGTGTTTAACTCATGTACTTCATGTGTCAAAGGAATATGGCAGTACTAAATCAGGCACAAAGAAAATGCTTAATACATTATTATACCCAAGATCTTTTGATAGCTAACTAAATACTGATATAGATAAGGATATGGAACTGTATGGATAAAACTATGCCATGAATTAACTTCAGTTAGATTCTACACAGCAAGCCAGTGTTTCATGGTTTGGGGCTTTATATGTACAAGCAAATATTGTTACATGAAAATCTATCTAAGCAGGGTCCTTACCATAGCTATTAAAAAATTAAATGTTTCATAGGTCTTTAAATAAAAGTACAAAGTTACATACTTATCATTTAAGGGGGAAAAGATTATACCCTTGTTCTAAAGTTTCTTTGTTATTTTCTTTCTATACTGCTTAAAAGAGAAATAATAGATAATCTCTAAAGACAAAGGTAGATAAATCCTGAGTCTCGTTCACTTAGAAACAGTACTACTTATTTCTGTCTTTTACTTTGTCTAGCACATCAAATTAATTTCTTACTCAAGTGTATACTCTACCTAGAATACTTTCTTCCTTCTTCACTTGGCAAGCTGGCCACTTCTTAATTCTTCAAGTTATGGATTAAATATTTAGGCTCAGGTCTTCTCTGACCATTTGCTGAAATAAGTCTTTGCTTTTATTCTCCACTTCAGCATTATAATTATTTCCTTTGTGAGTTTATACCACAATTTATAATTATTTAAATTTTAATTTAATTTTTTTTCTCTCTGTGTTGCGAAACTTTTTGTCTCCTTGGGGCAAGATATAGATCTGTCTTGCTTGCTACTGATATCTCAGCAACCAGCACAGTGTCTGGCTCAGAATAGGCATCAGATTTCTCAAGTAACTGAAGAGATGAATGAATGGGCATGTATTAAGGGCTTTCAAAGATGGAAGTCACATAAATGATTTCTTAAGCTAATATATCCACATCAAGTAGACATAAAAACTGCAGTTTTTATAAAATTGAGCAGAGACTTGTGTTTGGATTTGAAACTCATTGCTTCCTGACATAATGCCTATCATACTTTAGGCACTCATCTATTTATTGATTGGATAAATTAATTCAGATGTGAAGTCATAAGCTGTGTACCTATATTAGAAGGCATTTTATTCCAAAATAAAATTTAGGATGACAATACTACTATTAATGTTAGAAAGAAGCATAATAAATACAGGTGACTTAACCAGGATGCTGTGGGAGCAAAGTAATGCTTATGTATTTTCTGTTATATTTTTTTCTTAAAAGGGACCTGTTGGTTTGCCTGGAGAAGTAGGAATAACCGGAAGCACTGGTGAGAAGGTAATATCTTTCATTGTTTTGTTTATAGCAAGACTCTAGGCTAAATATAAAGGAGAGACTTTCATGACATTTTATGTTATGATTTTATATTAATTAGAAGTCATCCTTGACTCTAATAAATTACCCTGCTGATATATATATACATACACACACACACACACACACACACACACACACGGCACACATATACATATTATTGAAATATATAGCTAATAGCATCTATGCTTCTAATTTTTAAAGGGCAGAGTACCCTTTTGCTTATACAAATGAGGTCTGAACAGAAAATATGAAATGAATAGTCCAGGTGTGTAACTTATAAATCCATGATTTAAATCTACTTCATGATAGAAGCCCCTAGAGGATGTAATTTTGGATGAGAAGAATAAGTTGTCCTTTTCTCACTCTCTTTCCCCTGTCTTATGTACTTGTTCCTATTCCCATCCTAAGTGTTTTCTCTGTCTAGAGTATCATTTATCCTTCCCTCTATTCAAAACCAAACTGTTGGGCCCAGCTAAATTCCCATTTCATCTATGAATTCTCTCAGACTCCTCTTAATACTTTCTGATTTCTTCCTTTCGTGGAGGTAGAGGAGGTACCACATAGCTTAAAATTCAGTTGTCCTATAACTGTTTTATCTCTGTTAATATCATTTCTACAGTTACATGACTGTAGAATCTAAGCTTGTCTCCTCTCATTTAATACAAGTGCTTGATATATACTTACTGACTTTGTATTAACAATATAGTGTAGTCCAACTTTTAAAATTCAGATAGTTTTATCATTTTTTTCATCCTGATTTAGTTACGTCTATCCTGGGATAAATCTTTTTTTTATTGTTGTGCTGGGTGGGAGATATATCATACTTGAATGCATCCTCTCCACCCTTCTTCTTTAATCCCCCCCCATTCCTTTAGTTTCAACAGATACCATTTTTCCATTTACACACATGTGTACACAGTATTTGCACCCTATTCACCCTCATACGCCCTTTCCCCACCACTTCCCTCCTCCCACTAACACCAACTCCCCCCCGCCCTGCCAGGCAGGACCTGTTCTGCCCTCCTGTTTTACAATTTTGTAGAAGAAGAAGAAAATGACATTTTTGCTTAAGATAGCTATATGGGGAGTTTCCTTGTGACATTTCCATGTAAATATGTATTATAACCCAATTGGTTCAACTTCTTTATTTTTCTTCATTCTACCTTAGTCCCTTTCTTATGGTGGTTTCAACTGGTTTAAAAATTCTACATTCATCCTTGTGTAGAGAGTACATCAACCATATTCACCTTCTTAATTTACCTTACCCCTCTTGTATGTGATAATTTTATTGTGAATTAGTTTAGTTCTCTTAATATGCTATCACAGATTTGGTTATTATGATCCTCCAGAAATATTTCTACAGCTCTTAATTGTGGTTGACAGATTATGAAAATAATATTTTTTCTAATGGCTATACAGATTAATCTTTCAATGTGTTTTGATACTTTTGCTAGTCTCATATTTTACATGTCTAATAGAATTATAAGCATTTTGAAACACTTACAAAATATTGGCATAATGCATGCTTCATATTAAGTCCTGTCTATCCACAGTTTTTGTTTTCTTCATTTTAAAAAGACTTTGGATTTTTTTCCTTGAAATCATCTTAGGAGAATTTTTATTATATTAAAAGTCTCATAATATTAATGTAAAAGTACAAAATTTGTAAATTTAAAAGTTATTAAAAAGTAGGATGAGCTATGCATGTAAGGTATAATTCTGGTAATTTTTCTGTCTAGCCTTAGCTCAGTCATGAGTAATTAACATGACTCATTGTCATTCCTTTTCTTTGCTGTTTTACAAGGGAGAGCGTGGAAGTCCAGGCCCACTGGGTCCCCAGGGGGAAAAGGGCGTAATGGTAAGAGCTCAGTGATTTAAAAAATGTGTTTTCAATGCACATAATAAAGTTAAGGCATTGCAGAGGTAGAATTGCCTTGACTAGATTTTAAGTGAAAAAATGTTATTTTATAATACATTTCCATTAAAAATTTGTAACCACTTTATCTTCCAGAATGCTATTTGGCACTAAGGCACAAAAAGACATGCAAATGAATGCCTTAGTCAAATGATTCTCTAGTTTTAGGAGAATTGAACCACAATGGATTAAAAAGAAATTCAGTTATTCTTGCACAACATACAGTTCGTATGGCACATATCATTATTGCCACTCTCCCAATGAGTTTGTAGCCATGAGGTAATTTCTTGGCACATAAGAGCTCAGACCTCAAAATTTATCTTACTCTCTTTGTATCTTAATGATTGCAACAGCTGATAGATTTTCTATCTGAGCTTCATTTTTTTAGTTTATTAAATAGTTTCTAAGTGTGGGAAGAACTAGAATGAATGATTAGGCTGCTCATGTTTGTAATCCTACTCAGGATGTAGAGATTAGGAGGATCACAGTTCAAGGCCAGCTGGGGCAAAATAGTCTGTGAGACCCTATCTCAAAAATACCCGACACAAAAAAGGTCAGGCAGAGTGGCTCAAGTGATAGAGTGCCTGCTTAGCAAGCATAAGGCCCAGTGTTCAAACCCCAGTTCTGCCAAAAAACAAAACAAAACCCTTACTTTCAGAAAATATACTATCAGGGATCTTGTAGCACATAATGCTGTGATTCTCTGCTTCTAACTTCTGTGTTATCAGAAAGCCTCTAGGAGATCGTTTACACAATCTCCAGTTGCTGACAGCCAGGAAACTTTACATACCCACAAGACCAATCAGTTTCAAGAACTGTTACTTCCTAAAGCGTTGTCAGAATCAATGTTAATACCATAAAGTGTGTGGTCTTCCTAAAGTTTGACAGGCTGAAGTATTTGTATATATTCACTTTCCTTGATTATAGACTTCCCTGAACTCTCCGAACAAGACATAGCATAGAAGTTTTGTGGGTTTAGTTTAAGTTAAAGAATCAAAATTGGCTAATATACTAAGTAGGGGTGAAGATTTAAGGTAACATAACATACAGAAAGATTAAATGAATGTTTTCTTCTCAATAGACTGTAATATGTGACTTTACCTAGCAATTCTCTTTTCTAGACAGAAAGGGATGCATAGTTTCTATGTAAACATGTTTTTGATTCCTAGGTAGAGTATTTCTTTATAGCCTCTTACATCTTGGATAAGAAAGGAAGATCTTATCAAATTAAGCCTTTTGTTGTTATTTATAATTAACTGATATATCCTAAATGAAAATAATTGATTTTATATCTTTCATATTTTCATACATTATAGGGATATCCAGGTCCTCCTGGAGTTCCAGGGCCCATGGGTCCATTAGGATTACCTGTAAGTACACAGTACACTTTGTGATCTCTTCTAGAATGTCTTTTTTAATTTAAATCCATCCCTTTTGCTATGCTATCTTCTTTAGTTTAATGTAAAATATGACATGTGTAGAGTATTGATATTGACTTGTCTCCCAACCATATAAATACTCTGGAATATTTCATGGTATCTTAAATCTTCACCCCTACTTAGTATATTAGACAATTTTGATTCTTTAACTTAAACTAAAACCACAGAACTTCTTTTGAAAAACCACATATGAAAATATAGGACCGGTTATAAAAACTATAATTGAGACCAAATGAATAAACAACTCATAAGCTTCAACATTTTTTCCTAAAATTTCACAAATATTCTTAAACACCCAGTTAAAATTCATAGGAAATACACCTCTGTTAAGGAAAACTTTAGTTTTAAAGATCTGTTGTTTATAGAAAAATAATGAAATCTTGTCCCTAAAGTATGTAGTTTTTGCTCATCAAAATTTGATAGTTAATCCGAACATGAATATGAAGAAAGCAGCCTTTAGGGTCCCCTGAGGAGAACTTTATTTAGCAGAAATACTTTATACTGTTTTATGGTGCTTCTGCTTTAAGAATAAGCCTAATTTTCCTCGACATGTTGTTGGTTTCTAAAATTAGGAAGACTGGTCTAGAGAACAACTGCCAATCTCTTTATTCATATGAAAGAATAAACTTGATATCTGAAGTTCACTGCATTTTTATCTACCTAATGTTCATAAGTAAACAAATTTTATTTTCTAATTAAATTTTTATTGGAGACTGTAGAGTATCATACTTGACTTAATAAACAGCAACTTAATTTCCATTGCAAGCCATTTTTGTGACATACTAATTTGGAACAGTTCTGGTTTGAGAAAAAAAATCTATTTTCATGTGATAGGAGAATAATTGTCAAGACATCTTACAGTGATGGCCATTGCAGATGGTCCTGCCAGATTAAACTGGTCTGACGGACTAAGTGGTATCCCCTCCCCACATGACTCAAGTGTGTTCCTCCGGAAACTACCTTGTCAATGAATATTAAAGCTTCTCATCCTTTGTTCAGGTTATCAACACCCAGAAGTGACACTGTCCCAAACATAATATTTTAAAAGTAAAATACTGGGGAGGGAGGTGTGGGATTTGATAATTAAAGCATATTTTTAATTAACCAATTTCATTTTAAGAATTCCTAAGGCAAATAGCATCATGTCATAGGAAAGACTATGATTTTTATTCTGATAACATTCCTGTGGATGCTGTAACTGATTTTTAAAATTGCCTCATGTAGGGTCATGTGGGAGCAAGAGGACCACCTGGGAGTCAAGGTGCTAAAGGACAAAGAGTAAGTAACATAATGATGTAGTACATTAACCTAAAAATAAAATCACTTCATGATGATAAGTGTTCAACAAAAATAACTCCACTGGGGATAGGAATTTAGGTCAGTGGTAGGCCCTAGGTTTGGTCCCAGCACCAGAAAAAAAAGCCAAAAATCATTCCATACCTCCTAAAATTATGCTTATCAGGATTTTCCTTTGTTTTCATTATATTAGATGAATTACATTAATTGAAATATGACTCATAATCATTTGTACTTACAAAATAATACTTTTCCATTTTAGTTTTACCTATATCACTATCTTATATAGTATTCCTTTCTTATTCCCAGCCTCTACTTCTATCATTTGCGGGAATTATAAATGGAAAGATCTTAAATAAATTAATTTGTACTTACAGTGATTTATATATAGCAAGGAAAAGAAACATGATAAAATAAGAACAGTAAGAAATAGAATGGATATGCATGAGATGAATGAGTTAATTGTAAATCAGAAGTATTGTACTCATTGTCTAATAATTGTACATACAGAATTAAATGAAAAACTCTTCCTCTCTTTAAGTTGTTCTTAAACATTAAATCCTTTTTACTTAAGGAAGTAAGAACCAACATTTACTGTACGCCTGTCACCATGCCAGGTACTTCAGCATACATTATCTCAATACTCAAAAGCACCCTAAGGTAGTAAGGTACTAGGTATCGGGTGTTATATCTAAGGAAACCAGGCCTCAAGGAGTTGAAGGTACAGGGCCGGTAGTCACACAGAAGAACGGCACACCAATATTCAAATCTTAGTATGTCTTAACACCATAGCCTGTGCTATGTTCCACATGGAACATTAGGGAATGTTTTTCCTTAATTAGTCTGAACATGTGGGTTTTAAGAACTGCCTTTTGTGCTTTGTTTTAACTTGCTTTAAATTTCAGAATCAGTGAGGGATATTTAAAAATTCTAAAAATATGTCTTCCAAATAGCAAGAATTTAAAAAACAAATAACACCACCACCCAAAACAGAAACAAAAACCTGATGTTCACCAGTTGGCAAATGGAAGGGGAGGGTTATGAATTCCCAGTTTAAAATAACAACTTTTATCTCATGGCCTGTGTTTTAAGTGAAGATTGAAAAAAGTCTAAATTTGTCTTTATTATTAATTCTTTTCTGAAAAACTATTTAGCTTCCTGGCTTCCAGATCTATAGTTTACAAATATGTCTGATGGCTACATCTTTCAGCCTCAATCAATTTCAAAATAAGATAAAAAAGGGATTTGTACCCAACTATTATTTAATGGTCTATAACCTGCCCGTATTTAGTACTTGGTCAGGTCAAATGTATGTATTGAATTTTGTATGAGTCATACAGGGAAAATTCAACCAGTTTTGTAACAGGCAGAAAAAAGAAACACCTTTTGCTTTAAGTAATTTAGGAATTATTGCCTGTCTGGGCAGAGTGTACTAAATCATGGTACACACTTAAACTGTCTTAAGACATGGAAAGTTCATTTGTTCTCCAGTTTTATAACCTCACAATGATCCCTGTGTAGATTATTACTTTCTTAATCCGTCACTTTGTGCTCATCTCCTCCATCGCCTAGGGACTATTTTCACTTAACTTCTAAATCCATTTTACTGATTTTCTGCCAGTGAACCCTCAGAATTTTTGACATGTTCACCTCATAGTTTCTAAACAAGGAAGGTTTGTTTAGAAATAAATGCTTTTGGTGGGGGGAGGCTTTCATTACTTGGAGAATATTTCAGGTAATCAATAGAGATTGTGAGTACAAAAAAGAACTGAAGATGATAATATTTGAGAAAAATATAGTATTAGGAAGATACCAGATGGGCATCACATCTGGTATCTTCCTGTTTGGAATCTCTTCTGTTTTCAATCAAATCTTCCATTATGACTGTGATCTCGAAATCTAAACCTATCCTTCCTAATATTTTTTTACTCGCAAAAAACAAAAATACTTATCCAGCCCACTGAGTTAAACAGAAAAGGTATCAGGCTGAAGATCATGTACTCACCCTTTCCCTGACACCCTAAAAGCTGAGGGAGTCAGTTTTTTTCAGTGTATCTGTAACCTCTTTGTGGCACACATCACAATACACTGGAGGGAAACTCTCTACCCTTAGGCACATATGAATTGAAATGACATGGAGAACTATCAATATACTTATATGCTCTTCCTGTTGTAATTTATACTGTTACCCAATGGCCTGTGAATATGAGTGGTAGAACAACTCCTTGAGGATTCTGCCTGCCCTACTGCTTCTCTCTTGCCCATCAACCCACCGTACATCTGTCTAACATTTACTGATTTCCTACAATCTGTCAAACACTCTGCTAGTACCAAGGAGCACTCAATGTTAATAGCCCTTAGAGCTACACCCCATTGGATTTTACAGTTGCCTGGCTTGCAGTCTAATTGCAGTCTTGCAGCTTTTATTAACATTTTTTCAGAAGATAGGAAAAATCAAAGCAAGTAACAATGTCCTTCCATTTCAAGAAACAACCTAAATTAGTATCATGAATTTTTCTGTTTTGTGAACTCCACTTCTTATATACTTGAGAAAGATAACAAGAATGGAAGGCATGCAAAAATCAAAGTATTATTTATCTTACATACTCTAAGCTTTGTTTCCACCTTCTATGTTTAGCTTAAGAACAATTAAGTGAAATAAATTAATTTAATATCCCAAAACTAATTAGCATAATACATAGTCATTTCTTTTATGTAGACAATATAAGCTAATGGATTTTCTACTCTAGTACTAGAAAGATAGTGGCTTGATCTCTTGAATCCCTAGGAATCAGCATAACATCCACTGTTGCTCCTCATACACATTTTACTCTGGGCTGAACAAGTGATCTAGCCAGTACACAATTCTGTGTCAAGCTGCCCAAACAGGGAAAAGTTAACCTCATCTTGCTCATCCATGAATGGGGCTTTTGATCATGAAATCTTTAAATTCAGTATTCTTTCTCTAGCAGGGTGGTGTAGGGGCATACAGCTAAGTAGCTGACCTACACCACTTAAGATTTAAATGGGGCAGGGAAGATTAAAATAGCTACGTTATAAATTTGTAATGTTTTAACGTTTTCTATGAAAGACGCGAAATAGATATGACTATAAATATTCTGAATTTTGGCCCCCTTAAGGGAATTTAAGGTAAAGCTGCCGTAAGTAGCATTTACATTTAGAGTCAGTGCTAGGTAATATCTGGAGTACTTCAAGTGATAGGGCAAAGTTTCCTCTGTGGCTTCTCTGGAAATAGTTTCCTCAAAATCACTGAAAATGTTAGTTTTGTTTAATAGAACATTTGGTTCCAGCTGTGTAAATCAAGAGCCAGATAAGACTGCTAGGCATCACTAGTTAAGCATGTGAGTGATTCAAAATTAATACAGAGGTCATGCAAAGATATACAGATATGGTTTAAAAGAAATATAAATATACTCAGTCCAAGTTACAAAGACATTTGTTCTGTTTCCTTCATTCATAGACACTTAGCCTATTATAATTTATTGTAGGGGTCACAGAGATGGACTCAGTGTTCTCATGAAAGTCTTCCCAAATAAATGTGTAGTGTATGTCAATGTTTTAGTTAATCCTGGTTTTTGTCTTTTAATTTTAGCATTTATATGAAGTAGTACAGTCCTGTCTCCTATCCCCTAATGCATTTGCAGTTAAGTTGATTATTCATAAGTCTGAATAACTCTTTAAGGTTATCACCTATGTGTCTAGTAGTTGTTACTTACAAAAACATGCTTAGTTGATACAGGTGATTTATCTCACTTTGCCTCCAGCCTTGAGAACCCACTCAGTGTGGCCAGCTTCAACTTCCCTAACAGATTTTATATTCGGACAGCATACTTTCTCCAAAACAATACCCATGAGGTGTCCCTGAGACTTTTTTAAAGAAGTTATTTAAAAAATAATGCCATGCAAATTACATGCCTGTTACACTGCTGTTTTCCAGCTCTTTAAACCTTGCCCTAAAGCTCATTTTGTCATAGGAGTCAAAGCAAGCATATGCACTAACCAGTGGGATAACTTCTGTAACCAAAATCAGAGGGAAACATGGATGCTGATATAACTAAGCCTGTAGTTAATTGCTTACTCTTGCCTGAACCGTAGACAGTACCAGGCTTTCCCAGAGCTCTGCCAGCCTTAACCCTTATCCAGCAATGTTATGGTCTTTAATTAATGTAATTGCATTACTTACACCTTTTCGTTTAAAAAACTAAATGTGACTATCGTCACTGTAAGCACAGAAACTCCTTTTTCTTTGTACTCTGTGTAGTCCTACCTTAGTAAACAAAATAAGAAATGTAAAAGTAGGGCTGGAGATGGAGCTCAATGTAATGTAAAACATTACAAAAATGGTTAATTTTGTAGAGTGCCTTTTGATTCTAAAAACTATCATCAGTTTACTTGTGAACATTTAATATTCAATTTATAAGCTTCTGCTGAAGTTCCAGCCCCTATTCCAACCTGAATTTTCTTGCTAACAAAATTAACCCTTACTTCTTTTTAACATTGAAAATATGCTACAAACGGTAAAACATTTATTATTCAAAGTCTTTGGACATTTTGAGTCAGGAAACTCACTTAACATCTGCAGACTTTAATTTCTTCATTTTAAAAATTGGAGTTTGGCATTTAATTATGAAGCTTTCATTCCGCTAAATGCAGCCTTTTCTACTTATATATCTAAGTAGCCACTAAATCTGATTGCATCCAAAATGTGAAACTTAATCGCCATCTTAGAACTAAACAATATTTTTTTCATTCTAAACTCACAGCTCCGTGTCTGGGGGCACATTTCAACCTTTATCCTTGTAACTGCTGCTACCATTTAAACAAAAAGGACTTCTAACTCTGTCACTAGCCTTGGATATACCTGCTTCACTGTGCCCTAGAGACAAACTTGCTGTCTTCCACCACTCCTCCCTCTCTACTCCAAACACACATTTCTAATTTGTTTTTCCATCAGTGCCATCATCATTAAAAATATCTAAGGAAGACATAGAAATTTGAGGTTGCAAAGGGTTTTTTTTTTTTAAGTGCTTCATTATCAGTGAACGTGTTTCCCATTTAGATGTTATTTTCTGCGGTATTTTAGAATTTGGTTCCTTATTCCTTTTCAAGCTCTCAGCCATCTGCGATGATTCTTATAGGACAGAAGGAACAAAATAAGACATCAAAAGTGCCAGAGAAAAAGAATCAGTAAAAGCTGTTGAAATTTTAAGATGAGGGGAATTACTAGTGCAAAGTCCTGGGAAGCTTCACACTTAAAACTTCAGTCATCCTTTAATGATTGTGATCCTTTAATGAGGACCTGATCTTCAGGTCCTCAGCTGTTGAACAGCTCCAGTATGCCTCAGCCTTAGGGTCTTTTGCACTGCCATTTCTTCTAACTCAGGGACCTTCCCCAAGTTATTTACATCCTTCAGATATCCACCTACATGGCCCATCCTACCTAAATTAGTGTTTCTCACCTTGGATACTCTCTACTACTATAATAATCTTCTTGATTTTTCTTTATTATTCTTACATAGGTATTTTCCTTTTGTATTTTAAATTAATATATTTATTTGCTTACTTATGAATTCAGGGGCTGTTTTTCCTTCTCACTTCCTTGTTCTCTAGGCCTAAAACAAATCCTGGCTTGCAGTAGGCATTTAGTAAATATTTGTTGAACAGACAGCACATTTTTGGAAATTACTGACCTATTAAATTAAATCTGTATTCCTCAAATTGACCTCCATAGTGTTGCACAATGAGACTAATTTAGTTTTCCAGCCTTTTACTGGAAAATAAAGTAGGAGACAGATATGGAGTACCTTTTACACAGAGATTGTAAGCTAAAGGTATGGCTGTCACCTTAACAGGACTACTGTAGCTCAACAGCCTCATGAGGTGTCAGTGTTCTCTCCAAATCCATGAAGGTGCCCAAGAAAGGCAGCTACCTTGAGAGTACATAGCAAGAGTCCTATTATAGTAAGCAGTTCTTAATAATGTACAAAGTTTATCTCAGATGGGATATGAAAGAAGGTGTGAAAGCCTGGGGGCACCTGCAAATCAGCTTGCAGTACCAGGAGATCTGTATTATTGTTTTGTCTAGAACTCCATGGTTTCCCATTGCTGACTCCCATCTCTAACTGCCGGAAAGTGCATTTCCTTTACAAACACACAAAGGCCATCTTCCTCTCTCAGACCTCCTTTTGCTCCTTGACCTGCTTTATCTCTCCTTATGTTATAGCCACTTATACAATTTTCCTTTCATTCCATTAATTTCATAATGCAGAAACTTTTTCACAATTATCTGTCTTTATAACATTTAATACTAATTTTTTTCTACAGTAGAGGTTCAGTTGGAGGGGGTAAGTCCTACTAAAAAGGACTCTAAGAGTTTCTAAGGAAAGTTATAATTTAGACAGGAAGATTATTTTATCATTTTATTAGAGAATGACTTCTGCAACTAGTGCCTCTCCACAACTAATTATCAAATGAATATTGAGATGTTTTCGATTTAGGTGAGTATTTCCAATAGCACTGTCTGTCCCCTTTTGGGCTCCTGCCATCTTTCAGGAGCAATTGTCCAGCAAGTACATAGCAGGTACAATGTCATCGGTACTCATTTTCTAATAATGGGAAGAGAAGAGCGCCATTCCAAACTTATAAAACATAAGAAGACTTTTTAGGCAAACAAACCAGCCACTTTAAAGTTAATTTAGAGTCACTTAAAGAATAAATCTAGGCTGACTACTGCTAAATGATGAAGTGAAAAAAGTACCCAAACAATGAACTTATTTTATAGGAACCTCAACAACTGTAATAGTTGTTTGTAGTTGTCTGATACGCCATTTTGGCATAAAATCTCAAAAATATGGTCTTGATTTCCCCATGCAAAAAGGTCCCTCCATATTTCCAGCTGAATTCTGTGGGCAGAGCATAAAACTAAGCAGGAGTTTGACAACTAAAGAAAAGCACTGTGTCTTTGTCTATGTTTTTTACATAACAATAAAGAGAGAGAGAGAGAGAGAGAGAGGAAAAGATGAGAAAAAGGAAAGGAAAGAAAAGAAAAGATACATTTTAGATTCACAACAGAATATTTTTTTTTCCACCTTTAGGGCCCAAGAGGACCAGATGGTCTCCAAGGGGAACAAGGTATACAAGGTGCCAAGGTAATCACTGATTTCCTCATTTCATATGCAGTTAAATTTTATTGAGCCCATATGTCCTACCTGTCTAAAAAGTGATATATTTCCTTATAAAAATATAGTTCTAAATTTTCTCTTACTTTAAGTATGAAACATACATAAATCTTTGACTCTGCACAGGCAAATTTTTAAACGCTGAGATATATATTTGATGTGGTATTTTCTGTATGCTAGCATGTATAAGACGATAATTCAAATTCTTACTAATTCATCTGGTATTGATATTTTGTTAGGGTGAAAAAGGAAATCAAGGAAAAAGAGGGCCTCATGGTCTTATTGTAAGTAATAAAACATTTTACATTAAGTATGAACATTTTAACTCTTTCCTGTTTTCTTGGCTTTCCCCCTTGTTATTTAGGAGGGGGCAATTTGACCTGAGCATTTTCTTTTGTGTAGGGTAAGACTGGAAACCCTGGAGAGAGAGGAGTACAAGGGAAGCCAGTAAGTAATAAAATAATCAAGTTATGAAGAATTTTTATCTGCTTTGGAGTTGAGGAATGCTTAACCAATACTTTGGGATTTTTTGACAAATAAAAATTACATAAATTTATAGTATACAATGTGATATTTTGATAAATGCATACTTATGAAATGATTATATGATTTAACTCCTGATGCAAATATTGTTTGGTATTCCATATGTTAGGCTAGGAGAGTACAAATTCATTTTTCCTTTAATCATTATGTCATTGCTTTTTTTGAACAAGTTGCTTACCTATCTGGGCCTTGGTTGTACCTTTTTATAAGCTTTTACTTTTACTCCACTCTGGTTATGATAAATTAGTTTTTCTGTAAACCTCATTTCAAAAGAAAATAGCATGATATATAAATATAATGGGACATAGTAAAGCTAATACAAGACTCTTATTTGAGGCCTCCTGCCTAGTTTCTTTTTAACTCAACATGAATGTTTTTAGACATATGTAGTATAGAATATGCGTACCATGTTTTCTTATCACACTACCCTAAAAGTTTTTAATATTTTATAATGCTAGATATTTTCTTACTTTGAAATAATCTTATCAAAATTATATATAATTTCCCTGAGAGGCAACAAGTTCTGTGATTATAATCACTAGGTGAAGGGAAAATGTCAAGAAAAGGATATGTACAGGCATATGTAAACATAGGCACATAAGATATATACATATATATATAAACGAGTATATAAGCTTAAATGTGTATTTTAACTACTTTCATTCAGAATCATCTTAATGGCACTTTGATTTGTCATATACATGGATAGTACAGTTTAAAGTTATAAAATTAGATAATATAAATCAATTGCAGCTGAGGACTCAGAAGAGGATAGGATAAAACTATTTTAGCTGCTGTAGTAGTTGTCACTAATGTCATGGCATTTGCTTGTTCCTATTTGAAATCTGCTGCCCTCTGCCTGTTGTTTCCCACAATAGCATTCTACTTGACAGTGGTCAAACCTAAAATATCACAGACTTACAACTGAAAAACCGATTGGGCGGGAAAAGAACTTGTGTTTGGTATTGTGTTAGTAAGTCCTTCCAGAGAACATCCTTGAGTCTTACTATTCACTATCTGGGTTTTTCTTATTATATCAATGTCAATGATATTTTGGTAGATTCTGGGCACTTTGCTGTATTTTATGCAAGGCTAGTATGTTACAAAGAAATTTGAAGCTCAAGTTCACTTCCATTTTAAAAAAGTGAGGCCCACAGAAATAAAATTATTTACCTATTTTGTAGTTGAACATCCTTAGATTTTTATCTCAATTTTCAGCTTAGATAAATGTGATATTCAATGTTTGACTTGCTTAACCAGATAAAAGGTACTAAATCATTTTGTAACCTTACCTTACACCAAATCTCATAGACTACGGGGAGAATAATGTTACCTTAAAAAATGACATAGTTAGGACATTAATCTTGAATTTATTATAGTTGTTTCTTAGTGCTGTGCCTACATTGTCTCCTCCTCAACTGAACAGCGATCTCAGGGAAGCAAGAAATAACCAAATGAAATCAGCCAGACAAGTCCCATTAATATCTTCAGAGTAATTTTAGCATCTCCAATCCTTTATGCACTCTCAACAATAGGTAACTGTCAGAGACCTGGTGGAGTATGCTTCTAAAAATGATGTAACCTTGGTTAAACTGGTTACCTGTCTGGCTCGTATTTTCCTCACCTATAAAATAAAGAGACTGATAAGATTTCTTAAACCTCCTCTATTTTTAAGTTGTTGTAATTTTTGAGGGGGTGCTAGAGTTTGAACCTAGGGTCTCGTGTATACTACACACGGGCATTACCACTGAACCCTTAATTGTCATATTTCCAAAGCCTCATAGTAAATAAAAACCAGTAGTAAATAATACTCTTAGTAGTCCAGGTAATCAGTCAAAATATGCTTTTCTGTGGTCTAACACTTTTCCTTATATTTACCTTCCATACTCACGTAGATTTAATCGATGGTAAAAATCAGAAAAAAAGAACATGAGCCAACGGTTTGTTAAGGTGGTAAAGCCTGGCTCACTGATTTTGGTCTTCCATATCATATGAAAACTATAGTTTTCATATATCATATATTAATATATCATATATTAATAATTCATATATCATATATTAATGATTCTATAGCTGTTGATGCTCTCAGTTGATGAAATAGGAATAGAAAAATTCTGATTGGTATTTCTCTATTTCCCTCTTTAATTCTATCAACTTTTGCTTTAGGTATTTTGAAATTATATTATAACTTTATTCACATTTATGAGTATTACATCTTCTTGATAAGATCACCTCTTTTAGCATTTAAAAATATTTCTATTTCACCTGGTCATACTTTTTCCTCCAGGTAATACTGTTTGTTTTGAAACCTACTTTACCTGGGATTAACATACTTTCTTCACTTTTCCTGTGCTTGCTGTTTACATGACATACTTTTCCTATGAATTTACTTTCAATTTATATTTGTCTTGATATTTAAATTGCATATATTATAGTTGGATCTAGCTTTTTATTCTAATAATCTCTACCTTTTAATGGCAGCATTTGGTCCATTTCCATTTATTGATATGGTGGGATTTAGGTCTACCACATTGTGATTTTTCTTTGTGTCCTTTTTGCTATTGTTCAGTGCCTTCTGTTAGCATTGAGTAATTTTTGAGAACTCTATTTTAATTTATCTATTGGCATTTTAGCTATAGTTCTCATTGTTACTTTATGTAGATATTCCTTGTCAGTTCAGTGCCACAAAATAAACATTTATGTTACATATTTAACAAATGTGTAAGAAGCTTATAAATACATACACTTCGCCTTTCATGCTATAATTGTTTTATGTAATACAACTACATATATTATAAATGCCTTATTATAAACTTTTTGCTTTAACATAATATAAATAAAATGTTATCCACTTCAATGTAAATGAAATCTGCATTTTTGAGATACCTATGAGGGATACATGGTATTTCTGTTTTTCCCTACCTATTTCCATTTCTGGTGCTCCTCATTTCTTTCTGAAGGGTTGCATTTCTAAATGGCGTTATTTTCTCATGGCCTATGGATCTTTCTTTAGATTTCTTTCAGTGGCATCTGCTAACTGAAATTTCCTAGTTTTTATTTATGAAATGTGTTTATTTCACATTTACTTTGAAGGATATTTTCACTGGATGTAGTATTCTAGTTTTCATTTTTGTTTTGTTTTCATTCAACAATATAAAGAGGCTATTTTCTTTTGGCCCCATTTTTTCTGATGCGAAGTCCCCATATTCCTATCATTATTCCCTTGTATATAATGTATTATTGTATTGTATTGGAGTCAGATGTTATAGGTCAAATACTGGTTCTCCTAGTTAACTAGCTGTTTGACTTTGTATAAATTACTTCACCTCTCTGAGCCTCAGTTTCCCTGTCTTTACAATGTATATCTTTCATGGCTTTAGAGACTCTCTGAGCCGCAGTTTCCATATCCGTAAAATGTATATCTTTCATAGCTTTAGAAACGAGTACTATAATGTGCTTATTAGCACAGGTCTCTTAAATATCACTATCATCATTATTATTTGATGGTTATCATTCTCGTAACTATTGAGTTCAAGTCTTGGAGTTCTACAGAATAACATTAGTAGCAGCATCTGAAAAACCTTTAAAAAGAACTTTTATATCTATAGTGTCAGCTTTTGCTTTTCCTTCTCAATAAAAATAATTTGAAAAGTTGAAACAACTTTAGGTATCATCAACAGCATTAAAGGTGTATGTATTAAGCTTAATATTCTGTCTAAATTACAACAAAGAAAATTGGGCAGACATTATTAAGGTTCTGATCTTCTGTGGTCTGTTTCGGTTAGCGTATCAGATGCAGTCAGATTCTTCACATGAATTCTGTCCCTTAATCCAGGAGCCTGGGTGAATGGACAGCATATGATTTCTATAACCAAAACGGGGCTTCAGCCAGAGGGGTCTCCAGATCTTTACGTATTTCCCTATCTCTAGCCATAGAAACTGAACAGAGCATTGATGATAGTAACTTGTATGATTTGTTTTTGATAAGAATTTTGAATACCTTTTAAGATATTTTTAAAATTTTAGTTGACACATACTTATGGGATACAGTATAATTTTCCAATACATGTATACAGTATGTGGTAATCAGATCAGGATAATCTCTATATCCCTAACCTCAAATATTTATTGTTTCTTTGTGTAGGGAATAATCATAATATTCTCTACTGGTTATTTTGAAATATAAACTTTAATATGGTTAACTATAGTGGCTCTACTATGCTACAGAACATTAGCTATTATGCCTTCTCTGCAGTGCATCCTGATTTGATACCCATTAAACATCCTGTCTCCATTCCCTTCCTCTCCTAACACTTCTCGGCCTTTGGTTCCACTCTGTGCTTCTATGAGATCAAATTTTTAGCTTCCACATATAAGCTAACACATGCAATATTTGTCTTGCAGTGCCTCTTATTTTCACTTAACACACTGTCCTCCATTCCATACATGTTGCCACAAATAACAGAATTTTGTTCGTTTTATGGTTGAACAATTTTCCATACAGGTTGAATCCATGTCATGGTTATTGTGGTTACAATAAACATGGAACTGCAGCAGCCTCTTTTATACAGTGATTTTCTTTCCTTTGGATATATATATATACACAGTAGTGGAATCAGTAAATCTTTTTCAGCAATTCTGTTTCTGTTTTTTCTTGAGAAACCACCATACTGTCTCCCATAATTACTGTTAATTTACATTCCCACCAACAGTGTATGAGAGTTCCCCTTTCTCCATATCTTTGTCAGCACTGGGAATAATATCTTTAGAATTTGGAATTAATATCTTCTAGTTTAATGTTACATTTTTCTTAGTTTTTAAGATAAAATAGTAATTGCGATTAACTGTATAGTTATCAGCTTTTCCAAGGTTAATAATGTAGAAGATTCAAAGGGACAGAATTTTATGTCATCATTAATTATCAGCATCTGGCACACAGTACGTGCTGAGTAAATATTTGAATGGAAGGGCCAGGGAGGACCTGAGATTGGTTTAGAGTTCTATTTACCACTACATAATTCACTTCAAACCTGAATTCACTTTTAAGGTACTACAGGTAATATGATGCAAAAATAAAGGAAAAATTGTGATTTATAAGTTCAATGTGGTTGTCTCTAGCTAGCTAAAGATAGGTTAAAATCTGTCTTGCCAAATTTTAATGGAATAAGTCATACTTATTAACACATCACAAAAATATTATTTTTTAGAAAATGACATTTTATATCAATAATAAGAGGATAAAGAAGTACAGAACTTGAAGTAATTCTGAATAATTATTTGTCACAGTTTAGAGTGAGGATTAATTACAAGACTGATGTAGATATATAAATAATTCCTAAAATTCAATAAATAAAAAGTAAAACTTCAACCCAATGAAAAAATGAGCAAAGGACTTGAATAGACATCTCATCAAAGAAGACATACAAATGATCAGTAAGCATATAAAAAGATGGTCAGTATCACCAGTCATTAGGTAAATATAAGTCAAAACTACAGTGATCTGCTATTTCACACAAATTAGAATGCCATTGCAAAAACACTCAGAAAATATGTGTTAGCAAGAACATGGGGAAATTAGAATCCTCTGTGTGGCTAGTAAGAGCATGAAATGGTAGGGCCACTGCAAAAAAGTTTCGTTTTTCCACAGAATTACCATATGACACACGGATTCCACTTCTAGTGTATATGGAGAGACTCAAAGAGAAACTTATACACTCATGTTCACAGAGCACATTCACAATAGCCAAAAATAGAAGAAACCTAAGTGTCTATTGACAGACACAGTGGAATATTATTTAATCTTAAAAAGGAGGGAAGTTTTGACACATGTTACAACAAGGATGAACCTTGAAGACATTCTACTAAGTGAAATAATCTTGACACAGAAGGGCAGATACATGATCTTATTTATGTAAGATACCTAGAGTGATCAACTTCACAGAGGCAAAAAACAAAATGGTGGCTACCAGGAGGCAGAGGGAGCAGAGATGAAGAGTAACATCTAACCAATACAGAGTTTCTTTTGGGGAAAATGAAAACGTTCTGGAGATGAATGTCAGTGGTGGTTACTCAACAGTGTGAAGATGTGTCATGCTGCAGAGCTGTATACTTCAAAATTGTTAAAATGTAAGTTTTCTGTGATGTGTATTGTATGACAAGAGAAAAAAGAATAAAGAAGACATAGAAAGGATCTGTAAGGAAAGCTAATGCAAGGAAGTGAACAAAAACATTTTCAACACAGCTTTTTATACAAGTTTCACATTTATTTGTCCAGGGTTTACAGGGACCCCCTGGCAGTGCAGGAGACAGGGGAGTTGCAGGAGAGCCAGTAAGTTTATCTTTATACTTTCCTAATTGTGTTTTCTCATAATGAAAACTTACTTTCCTATTATTATTTCCCTATTGTGCATGACTAGTATATTTTAGAAAGCAGCATTTATCATAGACAGCATGTACTAATTATATAGGATGAATATGTTGTTGTCATATAGCTGTCAGTGCCTTTCTGATTTCATGTAATATAATTTTGTTCTGTTTCTGTTAAAACATAGCACATTTCTATTTTCAACAAGGAAAACTCCATTTATTAAACTCAAAAATTCTTTCTAAATAGCTTTCCTGTACTTATTATATTGCCACACACACAAAATCACATTTGTGAGGCCAACTCTATAAAAGAGAACATAGAGAAACCAAAATATGCAATCATGACAGAAATGCTGTTATATCAACAATACAAAAACTTTACATCACAATTCCATAATTATGTTTGATTTATGAAGTTTCCATGGAAAATGAATTATGAAAAGGAAAGACCTAGTCACACCCACTTTCCTACAATTTATTCTTTATTGTCAGTGAGGTCATTCTTCTGGTTAATCATGTAGGATGTAAGATGCTTAATTGCACTTCTCAGATTTATAATACAATACAGTCTTTCATATCACTGGTTTGATTTTATCGTAAGTTGACACAAAGGTTTACAGGTGGCCTTTGCATAATTCATTTAGAGAGTAGTAAGTGGAAAATTTTAAACAAAGAGTATTCTTACCAAACTCTGTTCATTTCCTCCTTTTATGTGTGACTTATAAAATCTCCAAACAATAAAGAGTTGACACTATACATGTAATTCTTTCCAAATAGAAAATCTAAGACATGGTTACACAACTAAGTCCTTCTTTATTTCACCTAAAATAACTCTCTTTAGCATCATTTAATGAAATACCTTTTTCCCCTGAAAAGTGTGTAAACTCTTTGGAGCTGTAGATCATTCCTTTACAATCTCATTTCCCGGTGTAGTGTCTGGTATACGAAATTCATTCAATGTGTGTTTGTTAACTTAAATTGACAAAAGGTCATGTACCCAAAGGTACAATCATTCAGCCAGTAGGTAGCATTACATATGTAGAATGTAATGAAAACTGATGAGTCTTCACAAAGAAGACATGAAAGTAGAGATAAATGTGTCAGTAGAGTGATGACAATAGTAGAGACAATATTTTAGGATTTATATAAGAAAAGAAATGTTACTTAGGATTTATACAAAAGACTTTTCCATTAAATGACTTAACAGCACCTAAAAATTAACATGCAGGTCACAGGGTCATGAGACTGGTAAATAAAATATAAATCAAGTTATAATGGATATCATAGGCTTTGTGTCAGATAGTTGAGTTGTGTTGTTTAACAAATGTTGAGAAATATTTATATTTTGACAATAATACACCTTTGTATAGCTGAGAATCAAAAGTGATTTCCTCATTACAATGCAAGCATTTCTATTTAATAAGGACCATTCATTCAGTCCATCAACAATTTTTTATTAAGAATCTGCACTGGGAGCCAGGCACAGTGCCTCAAGCCTATAATCCTAGCTACTTGGGAGTCCAAGATCAAGAGGATCATATTTCCATCCAACTGGGGCAAAAGAAAGTTCATGAGACCCCACCAATAGCTAGGCATGGAGGTGCATGTCTTTCATCCCAGCTAAGGCAGGAAGTATAAAATAGGAGGACTGCTGTCCACACCAGCCCAAGCAAAATACAAGACCCTATCTCAAAAATAACCAGAGCAAAAAAGGGGCTGAAAGTATTGCTCAAGTGGTAGAGTGCCTGCCTAGCAAGTGTGAAGCCCTGAGTTCAAACTCCAATACTGAAAAACAAAAAAAAAAGTACCTGTACTTGTTATGTAGTGATAAGCATGGAATTTTCATCTGGTGATAGAAAAAGACATTATTTATATAATCACAAACATAAATGAGTAATTAAAAACTGAGAAAAACATTATAAACAGTCATCACTCAATATTTGTGGGGCCTTGGTCCCAGAATCCCCCTCAGATACTAAAGTGTGTGGGTTCTCAAGTTCCATATACAAAACGGCATAGTATCTTCAGATAATCTACCCACACCCTCTTCTGTACCTTGAATCACCTCTGGATTACTTGTAATGCCTAATAAAATGTAAATTCTATGTAAGTAGTTGTTAGAGAATATTGTTTAGGGAATAACGTCAAGAAAACAAGTCTCATATGTTTAGTATAGACATATTTTAAAAATATATTTTCTATCTGCAGTTGTTTGAATCCATGGGTGTAGAACAAATATGGAGGGCCGACAATGTTGGATTCAAATCTAAGAGGCTCTCTGACAAGTAAACGGTCATAACACAGGGACTAGGGAAAGCCTCCAGGAGCAGAAAAAAAGCATTTTAGATTTGATCTGAAAGATGAATAGCAGTTACTTGGGCCAAGATGGGAAAGGTCATCCCAGAGGCAAATGATGAGCTAGGAGAAAGCACTGTGTATTCAAAGAACTGAACGTTGGCCAGGATAGCAATGGCACAGAGTCAGGTGGAAAGTAAGTGTAAGGTGAGGATGGAAAGGGACACAGGTGACAAAACACACAATCCTGTTCCCACAGAGTGTATTTTTTTTCTCTTAAGAAAAAATGGAGGAGGAGTGAAGCAATTATCAGATTATTCTTTTGTCAATATTATTCAAACTACAAGATAGAGGAGCTAGTAATCCAGATAAGAGATACTGGAACTTATTTGATTAGTGAAGAAAAATAAGTGCTGCTGAGGGAAGACATTGGATGCTACATGTGGGGAAAGAATTTCCAAAATCTAATACAAACTAATTCAGCAGTGTGACATTTGGTCTGTCTCACTGAATGAATACGAGTCAGTCTGATCTTCATGAATTCAAATTTGCTATTTTTGTTTTCTCATTCACCTAAACATTTCTATATTGTTTTGCTGCAGTGAAGAGCAGATAAGAGCATCTTTCAGTGAGTAGCCTCAAGAGTTCCCTTGCAATCTAGCCTACCTAAGACACTTGGGAGACAAAGGAAAGTTGAGCCATGCAGTGTCACCTGGGGGACCTACGTAATGCTTGTTCACCTTCTGGCCTTTTTCACATCCTGTAGGTCATTCACAGTTCCCTTTGGCCCTTGTTTATTTCCATACCAGCCAGTAAGTGTGGGACAAGGTCTATCGTAAATGTAATGAAAATGTCCAGGAATTGGAACCATATTTTGAGTATTAATGACGTAAATTTCTATGGATAATGAAAATCAAAACCAAAAAAAGTACTTCATCCAACAACACCAGAATACTCATTCTTTTCAAGATCACATGAAACATTCACCATGATAGGCCACATTCTGGGCCAAAAAACACAAATTTATGAGGACAAACATAACACAGTATCTGCTCTCATACCACAACGGAATTAAATCAGTCACAGAAATATGGCTGGAAAGTCCCAAAATTTCAGGAAATTAAACAGCACACTTCTAAATAGCATATTGGTCAAGGAAACGTCTCAGGAGAGGTTTTAAAATATTTAAAACTAAATGAAAATGAGATTACAGCTTATCAAATTTGTGGGATGTAACAGAAACAGTGCTTAGGGAGGAAATTTATGGCATTTAGTGCAAATGTTAGGAAAGAAGAAAGATTTTATTGATACAAGCTTCTGTGTTAGGAGACTAGAAAAAAAGAGCAAATTAAATATAGAGTAAGCAGAAGAAAATAAATAATAAAATGATAAGGTAAAATCAATGAAACCAAGACTGGTTCTTTTGAATAAGTCAATAAAATCAATCAAGCCCTGGAAAGAATAAAACATTTGAGAGAACACAAATTACTAATAGCTAATTAGAAATGAAAGAGAGGCCATCAATGCTGATTCTGTGTAAACTAAAAGGATAATAAATGGATATTATGAAAACTTTTTTGTCTATAAACTTGACAACTTAGATGAAATGGACCAATTCCTTGAAAGACTTGTTTTACCAAAATTTCCATAAGAGAAATTGATTGATCATCTGAATATGCCTATATTGATTAAATAAATAAAAAGAAAACCCAAAACATGAAAGTATTTGATATCCCCACTCCAGAGGAACTAATACAGAAACCTTAAAACTACAGAGGTTATCCTGAGCAGGGGATCAGGAACCAATGTAAAGATCAGTTAGAGTTGAATCACGTGGGTCGTAACACATGGGTATGTGAAAGCAAGAGTAGGAATCTCTCTGTATAGCTATTCTTAACTCAAGAAGCAAAAATGCTTTGTCTTCCATATTATGCTTATGTCATTTCTTCAACAAAATTAGTGATAAGGGCAGAACAGGACCTGCCTGGAACTGAGGCGGGGAGGGGGGGAAGGGTGGGGTAGAGGGGCAGAGTAGAGAAATGACCCAAACAATGTATGCACATGTGAATAAATGAAAAAAATTTTAAAAATTAATGAATAACCTCCTGAAACAGAAAATTTCATCAATTAATAATTAATTGATACCTTTACAAAACAGAAAGCACTGAACCTAGATGATCTCACTGATGAATTCTACCAAACATTTAGTAAACAAATTATACCAATTCTCTATAATCTGTTCCAAAAATAGAAATAGCAGAATACTTTCTAACTCATTCTGTGAGGCCAAAATTATCCCATACCAAAACCAGATAAATATTTTAAAGAAAACTATAGACTAATATCATTCATGAACATAAATGTAAATATCCTCACCAGAATATTCACAAATCAAATCCAGCATCATAGATTACACAGCATGACTAGGTGGGATTTATTCCAAATACAAAGTCTGGTTTAACATTAGAAAGTTAATGCAATCCATCACCTCAACAGACTGAAGAAAAAACAGGATGTCATTAAAAGATCCAGAAAAGTCATTTGATAAAAATCCAAAACCCATTCCTGATTTAAAAAAAAATCCTCTCTGCAAACATGAAATAGAGTGCAAATTCCTATATAAAGAACATATATTGGGGGACCCCAACCTTATAACCAGCATCATACTTTGTGGTAAGAAGCTAGATGCTTTCTCCCAAGAACAAGGGGACAAGAAAATGATGTCCCACTTTTTTTAGTGCCCTTTCAGCATTGTTATATTGAAAATTCTAGCTAGTGCAATAGGTGATAAAAAGAAAGAAAGCATATACAAATTGGGAAGGAAGAAATAAAACTGTTTTTGTTTATAGATAATAAGTTTTCCTATATAAAAATTTCTAAGGAATTGATTTTTTTAACTCCTGTAATTAATAAGTGATGATAACAAGGTTGCAGCATACCAGGATACAAGTTAATATCTAAAACTCTATTGCTGTATTATACCCCATCTATGAGTGCCACAGTTCCCATTACACTCAGTTTACTTACAGTAGTTTTATTTACCTGTGGCCAATGGTGATGTGAAAATATTAATGGAAGATTCCAGGAATTTGCAGCCCGTACATTTTAAGTTGTCATTTTGAGTACCGTGATGAACTCTTGCACCATCCCACTCCATTCTGTCCAGAATGTGAATCATCCTTTTGGTCCACCACGTCCATGGAGCATATACCAGCTGCCCTATGACAACTGAGAGAGGGAGAAATATAGAGATAAATAGATAGATAGATAGATAGATAGATAGATAGATAGATAGATAACATTTACATAACTTTGTTTATACTTTGTTGTTATAATTGGTGTGTTTTGTTAGTTTGTTATCTTACTGTGCCTAATTTCTAAATTAAGTTTTGCAGCAATGTATGTAGATGAAAAAACATAATATATATATAGGGTTCAGTACTATTATGATTTCAGGCATCCACTGGGGTCTTGGAACACATCTCTTGTGATTAGGGGGACTACTGTAAGTGGAATTTAAAATAAAAAGCAAACTGCTATTTATATTAGCACCAAAAAGGAAAGAAAGAAATATGTATAAATCTAAAAAGATATATGCAAGATCTCTATGAGGAAAACTATAAAACTCTGATCAAAGAAATCTGTAAAAAAGTAAGATAGTCCATGTTCATGGATAGGAAAAATCAATATTTTCATCTAGCAGTTCAATGTAATTTCAATCAAAATTCTAAGTAAGGTACCTTATAGATTTTAAAAGGTAAAAGATCCAGAATCAGCCAATACAGTATTGAAGAACAGTGTTGGGGACTGATAATACCCAACTTCAGGATTTACTGTAAACCTACAGTAATTAAGACAGAGTGATACTGACAGAAGTAAATAGGTCATTGGAACAGAATGGTGTACCCCAGAATAGAACATAGATAAAGTCTTTGCTCTATACAATATGTACAATATATAATCACACACCACACAATTTGTATTATATGTAGTCAAGCAGCAAAGGCAATTCAGTGGATAGTCTTTTCAATAAATGATGCTGGAATGAGTGAATATCCCCTTGCTAAAAATGAATCTAGATGCAGATCTTATTCCTTACATATAAACACCCTCAGAGTGAGGGAAAGAGAGAGAGAGAGAGAGAGAGAGAGAGAGAGAGAGAGAAACCTCAGGATGGATCATAGACAACTACAAAATGTAAAACTACAAAACTCCTAGAAGATAAACATAGGAAAAAATCTGTGACCCTAGGTTTGGTTATAAATTTTTAGATACATCACCAAAAACACGATCCATGAAGAAAAGATGGATATGTTGGGCTTCACTAACATTAAAAACTCGTTCCCTGAAAAAGACACTATTAGCAGAATGCAAAGACAAATATTGTTACTTTACAATATTTGCAAGACACATACCTGATTCGAGACTTGTGTCCAAAATATAGAAATCTCTTAAAATTCAACAGTTAAGAAATAAGCCAATTAAAAAGTGGGCAAAAGATCTGAACAGATACCACACCAAAAATATAGACATAACATAGAAGCATATAAAAATACGCTCAAAGTCATATGCAGTTGGGTATTTGCAATTTTTCTAAATGGCATACCACTGCACACCTGTTGTTAAAATTCAAAACCCTGACTATACTAAATGCTACAAGCATGAGGAGCAACAGGGGCTCTCAAAGACTGCTGCAGGAATACGAAATGGTGAGTCACTTTGCAGGACAATTTGGCACGTTCTTACAAAGTAAAACATACTCTCCATATGATTCAGCAGTCATACTGTATAGTGCTTGTTACTCAAATGAGTAGAAACCTTTGTCCACACAAAAACCTTCACACGAATGCTTATAGTAACTTCATTCATAGCTAGCAAAAATTGGAAGCAATCTGTATGTCTGCTGTGGTCTATCTGTGTCCCTCCAAAGTTTAGATGTTGAAATTCTAACACTTAATGTGATGAAGTGGAGCCTTTGGACAGTGATTAGGTCAAGAGAGAATTAGGTCCTTCAAGACTGGAAATAGTGTTCTTTTTTATTTTTGGTGGTAGTAGGCTTGAACACAGGGCCTCATGCTTGCTAGTCAGGCAGTCTACTGCTTAAATCACACCTTCAGACCTATTTTTTGCTTTAGTTATTTTTTCAGATAGGGTCTTGAGCTTTTTGCCAGGGTCTGGCCTCAGACAGTAATCCTCCTACCTCTGCCTTCTGCATAGCTGTAATTACAGTTGTGAACCACCATACCTGGCATATTTATTGAGATAGGGTCTTGCTAACTTTTTGCTTGGGCTAGCCTTGAATGGCAACCTTCTTAATCTCCACCTCCTGAGTAGCTGGAATTACACTTAGCCCAGCCCCAGAATATTGCTCTTAAAAAAACACCAGAGAGCGAGTTCACCTCTTCTACCATGTGAGGCCACTGCTGGAAGGTGCCATCTTTGAACCAGAAAGTGTAATCTCATCAAACATTGAATATTTTAATGCCTAAATTTTGGACTTTCCAGCCTTCAAAACTGTGAGAAATAAATTTCTGTTGTTTATAAACTGTCAGTTTATAGAACTTTGTTATAGCAACTTGAAACGACTGAGGCAGTCTCCTTCAATAAGTAAATAAACTGTGATGCACACATGAAAAATAAATGAACTATCAAGTAAAAAAAATCATAGGGCATTAAGTGCATATTGCTGCATGAAAGAAGCCAATTTGAAAGGCATGCTCTATGACTCAAATTATACAACACTGTGAGAAAGGCAAAACCATAGACACAGAAAAAAATCATGTAGTTTTTTACTTTACCATGTTTCTTTTACTTGTCAAATATTTGCCAGAAATACTAAGTAGACATATTATTTTCATACTCTTGATGAGTATATTTAATATAAGTTGTAAAGCCTCCTGCACAGTACTTGATACTTATTAGGTATGTCTTAAATGTTTGTTGAATGAATAAGTAAATTAGGAAAAAAGCAATGGATGTTACTCTTTTCCTCTTATTTTGAATCCAAGCATAGCTTAACATCATTCATAAAAGAATACAAACGAATCAACTAGAGATATAATTTTATTTATACACAAAGTAAAGAAATACATTGACAATTTATTACATATTTGTCATTTTGTGAATTCCATGTTAGATGAATACGTTTATTGAACTAGAGTAAATTTTTATTCTTATACTTTAAATTTTGTTTGAATATAGGGGCCACGAGGTCTGCAAGGTGATGCTGGACCTCCTGGAGAAATGGGTGTTGAGGTAATTTTTGTGACGTTTTCATGTTCTTGATACTCAATCCTTTTTTAAAGACTGTAAGGTAAGGTTAATATTAAGTATTTATTATGAAGAGTAATTCTGTAAAATTTTCTTTCCTACTCAGAAAATAAACCTGAAATTCCATTAAAAGTAGAAATGATTATTGTATATATTAGTACTGGGGAGCAAACCCAGGGCTTTGTGCACAGTAGGCATACAATCTACCACCAAACTACATCCCCAGCCCTGTTTTGTTGTTGTTGTTGCTTTGGAAAATAACGTTTTGTTTTACAAACTAATAGGTCTCATTATGACATTTTCAAACATGTATACAATGTACTTCAGTCACATTTACTCCCCTTTAGTCCCCCTTCTGAGCACTTCTGCTGGTTCCCCTCCCGAATAGTCACCTTGTACATTCAGGTTCGTGTATTTTTGTGACAGGTGTAGTTGGTAAGATAAGAGTAAAGCAGGTATGCCTATTTCAAGGCTGTTGCACTGAACCAGGCAAGTGATGATGGAGGGCAGCGCTCATAGAAATATTTGTTGTATGAATTCTGCTGGCCCTCACATTTGTGGAATTTGGAAAGTAAAGCAGAAAGACGAGTTAAAAATTATTCCCAGATCTCAAGGTAACAGAATGTGGCAGTGCCTTTTCCTGAGTCCTGAAAGGAAGACTGTTGTGGGGTTCAATTCATAATCTGTTAATTGCCCAAGGAAAATGGCAAACAAGTAGCAGAGCCTGACTTTGATCTGACTCCAAGGTAATGCTACATCCTCTGAACCTAAAGAAAGCTGGGAAAAACCAAAGCTCACAGCTTGAAATTTTTAAGAGAATAGGTAATAATCCTGTTGTGATAAGGATTAAAGGTCCAGCAGGTGATGTGAGGAACACAAGATGGTTTAGAATGCTGCTTGAGGATAATGGAAGAGGGAAATGCCCAAGGACAAATAAAAGAGGAGATATAGCTCATTAACAGTCAAACTGAGGGAGGAGACAGAATTTGCATTATATTAATAATGATGATAATACTTAACAATTAGGGAGCACTTTCTATGTGGCTAGTAGTATGTACATGTTTTACTGAATTTATGGATTCTCACAACTTCATGAGATAAATGTAGTTATCATCTGTATTTTAAGACAAAGCAACTAAGGTATGAAATTATTCAAGAGCAATAGCTAGCAATAATGTAGATTCCAGATTTAAAGATAGGCAGTCTGCTTCCAAAGCCCATGCTTTTAGCCCCTGTGCCTCTCAACAGTTATGATGCCACTTTGCACAAAGGTGTATTTTTCCCAGCATATTCATCTGGGAATAGAAACGGCAAAAAGTGCTGTAAAGTGGTGGTCTGGAATTGATACAACAAAAGAGATGTCACAGAATAAAAAGATCAGCTTTTGATGTAGCCTAAGCAGAAATAAAAGAGGTCAGGAGAGACTGACAGATGGGAAGAACATAGGGACTGGGGAAGCCTAAGAGATTAAAAGCAGTTTTGATATGGAAAAGAGAATTAACATTCTCTCTCAAGAGAGTTTTAATCTTAGAGTGAGATACTAATTCTGTCATTTCTGAGGCACAGCAAAACACAAGCAGTCTGGCTTCCCACTCCTTTCTCTAAGTTCTTACTCTACTGTCTTTCATAACAATGAAGAAGTTACAAAGTTAACCAACAGGAGAACTAAATAACAACTATTTAAAAATTAGGGAAATGGTGGTAAAAGAGAGGTAGTATAGGGAACTAAACTTTTAGCAAGGTGACCCATTGAGAAGTACTAGTCTACAGAAGTAACCAGTAAGAAAACTAAAACCACAAATTATATCAAACTTTGCCTCCAAGGAGCTCTTCTATTGCATATGTATCTATTATTTTGAACAGAAAAAAATGAATATGGATTGCAGAAGCTGATTCAAAATGATAATCTGAACTCCCATCTAAAATAATGTGAAATGATGTAAAAGGTATTTTCATCTCCAATAATTATAAGGAAGAATAGCATCCATGGATCAGAAATTTTGATGAATTTCTGAGGGACAGAAAGGAAACAGAAAAGAAAGGAAAGAAAGAAATCAGAGGTGAGGAGAAGAAAGGAAAGGAGGTAAGGGAAGGGAGTGAGTTAAGTAAGGGGGGAAGGGAGGAACACACAGAACACACATCTTGCTTAAAAACAAGATGGATATCTCTAGGAGACAAAAAACATTACAACAGCAATTGTAGGAACTCCAGGCCTGGAAATAGCCAAAGGTTGCAAATTCTGTTTTCAAAGTCAAAATAACCAAAATCTCCTTAGAAAAACTGAACACACAATAAAGAAGACTAGTGAAATAGCTCAGCGTATCTCTCTCTTTTATAATGAGAATAAATTCATCAACTTACCCTATTTACATTCCAATTTGGTAGCATTTAGCATTCTAACTATCTTTATATTTTTCTCAAAATCACATGCCCTCTGAAGAACCCTTGCCAAAAATGTGATTTTATTTGTGTGATTTTTAATATAAAACCAGTATAGAAAAATTATTCTTAAGGAAGTGACACAGTAGGAAAGAATGGGAGGAGCAAAGGTAACAAATAAATAAATAGAAAGTAATAAAAATGTCTGAGGGTAGAAATTTTGCAGTAGAAGGTAGTTTGTACTTCATTCTTTGAGATTTAAAATATGAGAGGACCATTTGGAAGAAAATGCTCTTGAAGGCCTTGATTTCAGAAGTTGGTTTAGGCATCAGAACTGTTAATCTTGGAAAGATTCTGGTCTGATGACATGAAATTTATAAGGAGGCAGCAAAGACCCTCTTCTGGACACAGGTATCTCACCTCGAGTTAAAACTTACTGCCATCTTTTCATGAGGTTGTTACTGCCTTCGTAATATGTCAATTATTCTGTTTTAGGGACCTTCAGGCATTGAAGGAGAACCTGGTCTGCAAGGTGAACCAGGTGCTAAGGTAACATTCCTAAAAAGTAAATGGAGAGTCTCTAACTTGTACCACTCTGTCCCCTACATTTGCTCCATTTTGACAAACACCCATCTTGAAATCAGGTGGAGGCCAGCAGTTAAAATCAAGAAGTATTTTGGAATTCCTATCCCTATGATATGCCCTCCACAATTAGACATACACTATTAGTGAAGAAGTGTTTATTCTTTCTCTTTGTTTCTTCAGGGAGATGTTGGACCCGTGGGCAGTGTTGGAGGACCTGGGGAGCCAGGGTTACGAGTGAGTACTGACAGGAAACCATTGCAATTCCCTGGCCCTCTTATTTCAGGAATTAAAACTTACCAGCTAAACACTCAAAACATAGCACAATAAACCTTTCTGAAATACTATAGAAAATGTTTGTCTTTATTCCATAATTTCAAAAACTGTTAAGTCCTATTTACATTCTAATTCAGGAACATTTAGTATCCTAATAGTGTATATCCTGTGCCAAAAATGTGGAATCACTGTATTTGTCACTCACAGTAGCATTAAGAAGAAATTCATGAATAACAGGCATCAACTTTCGGATAGTTTCTGACCTTACAAGGCAAATGAAAGACTGAAATCTAATTTCTGTTTTTAACTTAGTAAGATAGGAAGAAGTATTTGTAATAGCTATAGCTATTTACAATTTAATTACTTAGGAAAGGTATACTAATACAGTCTTTATTTTGAGCTGTGGTAAGGAGTTTTTTCCCAACATGACAGTGTCCAAGATAATTTTAAGAGGCATGTGTTCATTAAAAGACAAAATAGAGAGAGAGATTTTTGCATCCGGTTTGCTTCTTTTCATTTCCCCTTTCTTGGGAGATGGGAGTAGGAGGTAAGGATAATGCAAGCACCAGTGATGAGAGAGCTGAAGCAACTGTTAATAAGCACTGATTAATTTACTTTAAAATACTTTAGGTATTGAGAACCAATGCTACTTTAACAACTTTTATTGTAAGTTCTTTATCTAGAAGCCAGCTTCTTGATGTACTGTGCATGGCCTGAATATTTGCCTCTCTGTCAGGAAAAAAATATAGAAACTCCAAAAATGAGATAGAATGATCATAACTGAGTCACATTGTTTCAATCTATATAAATTCAGTATATCAAGGAAGTATATTTCATGAGATGTAGTATTTATATCCCTTGAATGCAGAAACATATGTCTGCCTATGTAAATTTCCAGAGCTATCAAAGGAAGGTGTTACCTTCAATTATCTGAAGTGGATTAGTATTCTGAAACCATCTTGTACTCTGACTAGCTAAATCATCCATAGAACTATTCAAGACAGATTAAATAATGCTCTATAAAGTCTAAGAAGAAATAAATGAATACAAATTGGCTTTTTCTGTACATGCTGGGGAAAAAATAAAATAATTTTTATATTCAAAAATTAATCTTACTGTTTCTGCTACAAAATAGGGTGAACCAGGAGCTCCTGGAGAAGAAGGTCTCCAAGGAAAAGATGGATTAAAGGTAAATTATACATTTACTGTTATAAAATAGAAGTTGTGTAAACTCTTACACATAACTTTTATGTGCCAAAAACTTTATTGTGTGACATAATTATTGCAGTGCATTTCTTTTTAAATTTTTTTCATTGGGTTCCAGGGGACGCTAGGAGGAAGAGGACTTCCTGGAGAGGATGGAGAAAAAGGAGAGATGGGCTTGCCAGGAACTATAGGGTTCTTGGGTAGACCAGGTCGAATGGGCCTTCCAGTGAGTACTGCTGGGTTCACTTTCAAATACTCAGTGAGCTCAATGCCTGTATGTGAACACACAGAGACATACACACACACACATAAACACACACATACACACAGAGACACACACACATACACAGAGACACACACATACATACACACACATACACAGAGACACACACAGACACACACACATACATACACACATACACACACATATACATGCATACACACACAGAGACACACACATACATAAAAACACACATACACAGAGACACACATATACACACACATACACATGCATATACACACACATACACAGAGACACAAACACATATACACATGCATATGCACACACATGCACACATGCATATACACACATACACATGCATATACACACAGAGACACACATATATACACATACACACATATACACATATACACACACAAACACATACATAAACACACACATACACACACAGAGATACATGCACGCACACACTTTGATCCCCCCACATCCCTTTTTATATCTACTGGATAATTGCAGGCGTTGAACTGTGTCTTGAGGGTCAAGGCTGGGACTAATTATCATCCCTCTTAAGATTCAAAATGAAAAGATACTTTTTTCATAAACTATGGAACTTCTGTCATAAGCATTTGTAGGGAATGTCTTGAGTTGTCTCATATTTAGTTTGGTTGATTATTTTAGATCTTTAGTCATGAAACTGGCATTATTATTATAGAGTAATCCAGTCAGCCCAGGATAAAATTCTTTGCAACATAACAGAAGTTATCAATATCCTAAACTATATTATTTTAAAGAAAATTCTAAATGCCATAGTGGACAAATTCTCTCCCCTTGAGGGAAATGAAAGATATAACAAATAATGAGAGTAGCTCTTCTCTTGCCTCAACACATATAATATTTGTTATATTCTTCCAATATAGTTCTCTGGTCTTTTTACTCTTTTACTCTTCCTCTTTTTTGTCTCATACCTTTAAACATGGGAAATTAATCTATCTTTTCTAAATTTTCTTGTCTTTGGAGATATGCTTCTTTCTTTGGAGACATGCCTTATAACCCTACCAGAAAATGATTTCATTTTCCTCTGTACTCTGGCAGTCTTCTTCAGTCTTTTAAATATTCAAAGTCACAGGAGCCACGTTAGCTCAGTAGGTAGCGCGTCAGTCTCATAAATATTCAAAGTCAGGTCAGGTGTAGTGATGTATGCCTGTAATTCCAGCTACTCAGGAGGCAGAAATTGGGAGTCACAGACAAACCTAGGCAAAAAAGATAGCAAGACCACATCTCAATCAATAAACTTTGTGTGGTGTCGCATGCCTGTCAACCCAATTACACTGGAGGCAATAGTAGTAGGATCGTGGTCTGAGGCCAGCCCCAGGAAAAAACCAAGACCCTATTCAAAAAATAAAGCATAAAAGGATCAGGGGTATGGTTTAAGCAGTAGAGTACCTGCCTAACAAGTGCAAGGCCCTAAGTTCAAGCCACAGTACCACCAAAATCAATCAATCAGTTAATCAATTAATTATTCAAACCTAACTTTTAAGCATATGTGTCTCTTCTCCTTGGAAGATCCTAGGTCTTCAAAAGCAGATTCTCTGTCTTTACTTCTTCTGATAAACCTCAGTGCTTCTGTGCTCCATATTTCCACATGGGACTTAGTAGAGACTGAGGAACCAATCATAAATTCATCACGCAGAGAGAATAAACTAGTGACTAAAAAGTTGGTAATCTTTATGCATTTTCCCCATCCTTATCTTCCTCTGGCTTCTAACCTCCAGATCATTAATGGTCCTTTCTATGATCTAACCCTCGCCCTGGTCAGCTCAGTAAGGTTTGCCATACTAAGAGGAAAGCCAGCTCTATCAGAAAAAAACATAACAGAGCCCATAAACAAAGCACAAACTGGCCATCTAATTATTCATATTAACCCATGACAATACTTCCTTGATTAGCAATTCAAATAATGCTATAACACATCTCTCCAAAATAATAGATGACTGCTCCAGCATATTTCAAAGCGACATTTAAGAATAAGAATAAACTAGAAGCATTGCCTGTTTTTGAGCATTGACAAATCAAGTCATTTGTCCCTTCAATTTTACCTTTGTTGTAAAGTAAGTATCTCCTCTGTCCTGTCCTCTCAGTTCTAGACCCTGTGGACGGTGCTCTGCCACAGTGCACACAGAGTCTTAGGGAATCCTCCCTCAAACTACCTTAAGTTTCAGACACTGAGCAATGTATACTCACTTAAGTGTTGTCAAAGATCCTTCTAATAACCTATCGATGTTATTATTTCTTGCTTTACTACTGAAAGAACTCAGACAAAGAAAGTGCAGATGTTTATATAAGATGGCAGGAGAGCTGGCAGAGCTGGCACTAACTCCCTTATGTTCTGACTTCTGGTCTCTAAGCCTCACTTTATCATCTCCTTTGGGGCCTGCATTTTACCTTCTTCAAGTTGTGGATAGTTTTTGTCTTTTTCAAATAATTCATTTCTCTTCCATTAGCATCAGATAAGTGAAGTAACGAATGCCAAGAAATTTTTATTATCGTCTTAATTCTTGACAAATTTATGTTCTGGAGGGATAGAGATGCAGCTCAGTGGTAGAATGCTTGCCTAGCATTGACAAGGCCCTGGGTTTGACTCTCAGCATCACCAAAACACTATATTTTTATATTTAAAATCCATGAGTTTATACTGCAGCATGGGCTTTTTTAAATAGCAGAATCCTAAAAGTTGATGGGGAGGGAAAATGTAGAACGAAGAAAATGAAAGGCCTAAACATACGATAGCATACCAAGCAGGGACTCTCAGGGAATGATGATGCAGCACGACAGCTGCTGATGGTGAGAGGAGAGAAGGAAAAGGGGATTGGAGATGGAAAAATGATAAAAACAGATCTCATCTGTTTCATAATTTTTCCCAGGAGCAATCCTGCCCAGTACACATCTTTGGTGCCTTTTTTTAGTAACAACACATGTGTCTTTCTTTTTTATTCTTTTTGTTGTTCTCCTTGGAATTTTAAATGCCTTTCAGCTTATAAACTCAATAAAAATACCATGGCATATTTTTTCAAAAGAATTTTATGATCCAAGGAACTATTGCTTAATCAGAAAGTCTGATGTTGGAGTTATTTTGCACTTTAAAAATTCTTCCTTGGGCAATATCACAAAGATGCTACCTTGTATTCTTGCAAAATAAACAAGAAAGAAAAATATACACTTTTCTTTTCAAGAAAAGAGAAGCTCTTCCTAGAGGATTAAGAATGAGATCTGGGCTGAAAAATAAGGCATCAGTTAACAAATTCCAAATCCAAGCCATAAACCTCTTTGAACAGAAGAAAAATGTATATTTTAGGCTTAATTCTATGCTAAAATGTTCAGATGCCTAAATCATAAATCTATGTGAAAAAAGAGTCAGGAGGTATTTGAGAAGAAACATCTGTCTGACTTACGGTCTGTCATCCATTTCTAAAAATTCTACTACAATGATATCTAAGATCTAAACACATGTAGACCTATGAACTCCAGAGAGAACATATTAAAATGAAATTATCTTGTTTTATTCCTTCAAGAAAAAATTCAGTTGGAGTTATTGAAATGTACTTTTTCTGATCTGCTTAAGGTCATATGAGACAGTTTCCTTGGAAACTCTGAGAAACAATCAGTTGGGAATTTGGGTTTGTGGCATTAAGTGACATTCAGTAGTAAAGAATTATCTAAATCTTTGTCATCTGAATGGTTTCTGTGGTAGGGGTTTGTTCTGAGCTATTCCATCATAAAGCAATATAGAAATTGAAACTCCTATGCTCACCACTGTGCAACCAATGTTAAAACCCCTGCTCTCCCGCTGAAGAGCTGAACATCCTTGGGAAAGTCATTCTTTGATTTCTCAGTTCATACATAACACATAATAAAGGGGTTAGAGCCATGCAGACCCTCCCAAGATGGTTGTGTCAAGAAGTTGTTGAATTAGCATGTCTCTGTTCTTTTTATTCCTACTTTACTCCAAAGAGGTCTTTGTATGTCTACTTAACATACTAGCTTCTGTATAAATTTTCTTCAGGCACATCCAGCATTAGCTTAGATTTCTAAAATTTTACTCAGCCTTATGGTCCATGACTCTATAAAATGTATTTTTCCATTCATAAATTCAACAAAGTTTTTGAATACTTTCTACGAGCCAAGAACTCTGCTAAGCTTTGGAGATGAAGTGAGAAACAAGATTAGCAAGTTTCCTGATCCCAAATCTTATAATCTAAAAGAGAAGACTGATAATAGATTAGAAATAATTACAGATTGTGATAATACAATGACATAAATAAATAGGTTAAAAACAAGAAAGTGAAATGAAAAAGAAAAATAGGGTCATAAAAGGAAAAGACAGATTGAGGATAGGAAAAGTAACTAGTTAAGATTAGATAGCATATTTTTACTAGAGCAGTGAGGGACCCCTCTCTGTATAAGGGATAATTAAACTGAGATATGAAAAATTAAAAGGAATCCATCATGCAAAGAACTGTAGGAAGAGCCTTCAAGGTAGATGGAGCAGCCCAGACATAGATGTGAGAATGAGCTAAGTGTTTGTAGGAAACTAAAAGGAAGCTATTCCAGTTGCAGCACAATGGATAGTGAAAAGTTACTTAAGATGAGCTTCAAGAAACAGGTAGGAAGCATGTCATGCATGACATTGTAATCCATGGTAAGAAGTCGGGTTTTATTCAAAGTGTGAGTGAGAGGCTTCAAGCAGAAGAAGATAGTTTTCCAATGAGAATCACTCTATCATTTCCAAACTTCATTTAATATTATCTGGGGTTATTGAGTATAAATGTATGAAATGTTATAAGAAAAGAACAAAATTAATTTGAATTAGAAAAACATGTAATTTTACAAGAGAACTCAATAGGGAGAAATTATGTTCTTTTCAACAAATAGTGCTAGTACAACTGGATACCCATGTGTGAAAAATTTAGTTGGACACCACCTTACAT